AAGGAGGTGTTATAATGTCCATAGCAGCAATTAAAGTTTCACAAGAAAAGTGGCAATATTCAACGATTTTGGAAAGTGGGAGGTTGGTTTCTTTTTGTCCTTGTGAACAGCCATTCAGGACGAAGGTGTCAACTCGCTATTTCTGTGGATTCATGCTTAAGATGCTATAGGTGCTAAGAAATTACATTACAGAGGACAGAGGGAGTTTTCTTCAGAAAAGATGGGTATCTGGGCCACTAACAGGCGGCTCCACATGTTATCTGGGGGAGAAGGTGAAAACACAAAGAGGTAAGAGCTCAATTTTTTTCTGCAGTTTAGAGAGGTTTTTCATCGGTGAGATAAGTAACCTGTTGCAGACAGAGCACTGTGAAGGCCTTGCACCAAATGATGCATGTACTCTGGCTACCTGGTCTACCTAGAGGTCTCTTAGCAACAGACCAAACCTGAGAAAACACATTCTCTTCCACCCATCATTCTATCATAGTTACACTTTCCGTTGATTTTCCTTTTTTCTAGAAGGGGGAAGAAGTTGGTTGGATTCATCCCTCCTCAGGATCAGAAGCTGTGTCATCTGAAATCCTAACCTGCAGGTTTAATGGGATTTCAAGCTCAGGTGGAGAGCCCCCCTCAGAAACCCTGACAGGACCTCAGACAAGGGGATGAGAAGCAGTTTGCATTGCTGCTTCACTAGGAACTGCCCCCGAGAGCAGATCCATTGCACACCGACCCAGACAGCAAGACTCAAAGCACTCAAACACTCTTTGCCTGCAGGACATATGTGCGTAGGCAGTGGACGAAGCTGGGAGCTTCTGCCTGTTCCCTTTTTTATCATGATGTAGTCATGCCCTTTGGCTCCATTCTATACTGCAGTCGGAGATGAGAAGCGTCTTTTCTGCCTCCGTAGCCCCCTATTTCTAGAACAATGCATTGGTTCACTGAGTGGAGATCATGTGGCATTCCCATGAGCTCCAGCCCTTTTCTGCATTAAGATACATGTATTTTGAGGTGAAAGAGGTATGCAGCTTTGCGCTAAATATGATCCACACATTAATTATAGTTTTTCAAATCATCGATTTACATTCTCATCACGAGTGTGTCACCACACAAAAAGCCCTTCAGCAACGATTACTGGAAAATCTTTGCATTTCATTTCATTTTCTCTTTCAGTTCAAGAGAACTTTGCACAAAGCTTGTATCTTCTTGTGCAGTCAATTGGCACATTTTGAACAGCTGCACAGATTTTTGTGTCACGAAGAGAAAACCGATTTGAAAAATCAGAATATGAAAATGAAGTTATAAGGCACAGAAATCCACCAAGAATATTCTAGAGTAAATGCACCAGCATATTCTTCCTGAAATTTAAAATGCTCATGGAGTAGCTGGGGGTTTGAGGGCAGTGATTACTCGCCTCTACTCATTGCGAGGCTCTATCTGCAGGACCGTGTCCAGCATAGGTTCCCCATTAGATTTTCCAGTGAACTGGAGATGGCTAGGAGGCTGCAATCTATGATGGATGAGGAAGGGAGGAGAAAGCTGGGTCTGTGTGGCCTAGAGAAAATGGTTAAAGGGGTTTCACCTCCTCTCTTCAACACCCCAGCGAGTGCTTACAGAGAAGATGGAGCCAAACTCTTCTCAAGGGTAGGACAAGAGGAACAGGCAGAAATTGTAGCAGAGAAAACTGGACATGTGAAAAAACTTCTGCCCCATGAGAATGGCCAAGGGCTAGAAGAGCTTGTCCAGAGAGATGAAGCACTGTTGTATGGCACCTGCACCACCTCTCGTGCACCACTTGAACATTCCTGCATTTTCAAGACAGATCTGGACAAAGCTCAGAGCAAACGGGCCTGTTCGCTGGGAATAGCAGAACTGCTGCTGTACCCACACATCGTTGCTGGGCCTCGTTTACCAGGTTTCTCCTGGAGAGGCAGCAGGGCAAGACCATGTGCCAAGCTTAGTGCTGGCAGCAACGTGGCATGAGCACAGCGCCGCTCGCTTTCTGGGGTGGAGTTTTCCCACTGGATGAAATGCATGCACTGATTGCCTTGTGCTACAGCCTCAGACAGAGGTTTTTCCAGGAACTAAACTGCCTTCTTTTGCTGCCAAGGCTAAATTTGAAGATTTTAGGCAGGAATTTTTCAAGGGGTCTGTATACATTGAGAAGTCTCATTGATTTCTAATAGGATTCAGACATTTAAGAAAAAATAAATCACTTTAGTGGTACTACACTATGGTTTATTGATTTTGCATCAATCTGAAGTATGAAAATTATAACAAGCTACCAAAACAATTACTAACTTTAGGTAAATACTGAAGAAAAAGCTACAAAGGAGTATACTTTTCTTTCTAGGCTTTTCAGCCAACAGATTATTTTCCGAAGGTTCCAGCTGCTTCTCCTAATGGCATCTCTAAGTAGAACATAATCACACTATTCATTTAAATACAGGAAATTTTTTCTTGCTTCTGCCTCTATCACATACAGAACCCCCTGCCATCAGTGCAAATGTCTACAGTCCTGTGTTTCTAAAAACCAGCAATGCTAACTAGAGGAACCTCATAACTTTAAATCTTTAAGAGGGACTGCTTACAAGGATGGACTTACTAATTAGTGAACTTTAAACCTAGTGGGTTTTAAGACTTTCACGTTTTCAAACTTAACACGATTGCACATAAATTCTCTTTTGCCTGTCTTTTAAATTGTTTGCAGCAACCCACATTCAAAACCACCCAGGCAGAGGTTCAACAGCTGGCCATCAAAGCAGCAGCAGGACATAGCTCAGCAGAGATACACAAACAAAACACACGCCATCTTGTCATGCTCCCAGCCTAGGACAGCTCCCAGCTAGGACAGCATTTTCAGCCACCATAGAGCTTTGGGCATCTTCCTTTCTGGCAATCAAGGCAAGACTAACTGGGACAGAGCAAGTGGTGTAAGCAACCTCTATCTCTGGGTTGGGTTTTTTTGACAAGGAGTAAAACTGCTCATCAGCACAAGAAAATTACCCTCCCAGTTTCCTGATGAAATCTCCCACTTGACTTGACAGGGAAAAAAAAAAACCTCCAAAAAAAATTTCATAGATAATGCAGGACAATGGAACTTTCCAAAGGATTTAAAATGATGCAGATGTGGGCTCTAATTCTAAGTTATACCCCATTCCAGTCAGTTATGATCCAATAACCTACTTTACCTCCCAGATAAAAGCTTTCTACTCTCATTTTAGTATGCCAGTGGTAAGCTCAGTCCAAAAAAAAAAAGAAATCAGGACTGTTAATTTTCTATAAAGTTCTTAGCTTTTGCTGATTTGCCTGGGCTGTCTATATCGACGAGTATTCTTACTAGCTGAACTTGTCATAAACTTGTATCCTTAGCAGAGCCACTGATCGAGACAAAGCTTTAAGTGCTGCTCAGGGGCATCAGTAGATACGGGCATAATTCAAAAACTAATTCTGGTTTCTTCACATGAGTTTTAACACTTGACCTTCTAGTAATTTATGGAGATCATTACAGCATAAAAAGATTAGATGGATTAAAATCAAGCCATCCTCAGGGCTGAGTACTGCAGACTGTGATGGCAATCAGGACTTAAAAATTGTACTAGTCTTCCACTTCAAATGCCAGAATAAATGCAATGATATGAAAACCAACATTATGTTTCATGCTTGAAGTTTAAAGTTACTGTTATTTTTTTCCTCATATACTTGTCGGAATTAGAAATTGTACTTTGCATATACCTTGATTCAAAAGAAATTTCTCCAATGATGCTCTTCAGCATAAGGAGCTCCCAATTCAAAGAACAAACAAGCCTTAGCAAAGTACAAGGGCAAGAACTGATGTTTTATTAACCTATTTTACAGACTCTCAAGAGGAAAATGAGTCCTGTCAATGGGTCTTCACTGCATGAGACTAATATCTCATCAGAGGACATGGCATTATTTCACTTTTACATCTCTCCCTCAAGAATTCTCCCTCTGATGAAGTAGTTCAAGGGCAAGCATCAGAAAGCCTGCTGTAGCAAGGTACAGCAAATGGATTCGAGCCACATTAGGACGTCATCAGTAAAAATAAACATGGTGAAACTCAGTTTGACAAGCAACACAAATATTTGCATCACCATGTGATTGGCATTGTCCTAGAGAAGGACGATACCTTGTACCACAGGTCACCTTCCTTTCAGGCCCACTTGATAAAAGTACAAAGAGTACTGCTGAAACTAAGCCACAAAGGATGGAATTTACAAGTTTCTGAGGTAGCCAACTATTTTTTTTGAAGTCAGAATAGGTAAGTTACCCTTCTGCACCTAAATAACCTCTTTTAAAGATCTACTATACAACAATATTTATACCTCCACCGGGTATTTTTAACTGTTATTTCGGCTATAAACAAGTATGTTGCAAAAATTAGAGATGACTCTCACCTGAAGAAATGATGGAGAAATAGATGACTGCAGCAGATTTGAGGGACAGCCACAGGCTTTTAAAACAGGCACATTTCAAGGTACGAGTCTGAGGCATGCTCGGCATAGCTGATGATCTAGTTAATGACATTTACCAGCTGTGCCTGCCAAGCAATTCGTCACTCTGAAGAAGAATTTCAGACATCAGTCTATGGCAAAACGCATTCTGCATTTTTGTTTCCAGATGCATGGTTTTATTAACCAGGTTGTCAGTTATTTATCCTACACATGCATTTGTATGCATACTCACACTGATTCCCTTACCCATTTACGAACCTCTGTAAGTAGTCATCAGACTGGGCGGTAGATGGGGTAAGTAATATTAAGAGAAAAAATGCTCTTCTAGAACTAATGTGTTTTGAATGGAACATGTTTTTTCTTCTGAAGGAGTTCTTGAGTAGTTACACAGGTAGTTCATTTGTACATACCACTATTCCATTTCAAATATGGGCTTTAGCTTTTACTGGTGCATGGTCTGCTGCCAGCAACAGACACAGAAACCCAGCAGTAATACGGAGCTTAAAATGGTAAAAAGAAGACACATTTGAAAAGAAATCTCTTTATATATAGTTTTCACTTAAAAAATAAAATAAGTGAAACTTTAAAAGAGGAACATCCCATTCCAACTGAAATTTTAAAATACACTTCCATGCTAAAAGCACAAGTCTGGATGTCAGCCTCATAGAAGCTGCCAAGTAATAGAGAAAGAAACCTAATCTTTCATATTACTCGTATCTGTGTCTTTGCTTTCCTGGATTACATGACTATTGGCATTTTTACCAGATTGATCTAAATCCTCAATTTTATTTTCTACTTCCATAGCACTGTTTTCCACAGGACTGTGGGAAGATTCTTCACCTATTTCTGCTTCCATTTTTGTGACTAAATCATGTTCTTTGTCTTCCACATCCATTCCTTCCTCTGTTTGTGTCAACCCATGTTGAACTTCTTCCCCTGTTTTACTTTCCGATTCCTCCTCTTTCCTCTTTGCTTTAAACACTTCAACTCCCATCATCCTCAGGTAATGAAGTCTCTCATTCTTGGGCACAAAGGCACGGAGTGATGTCTTCCCTTGCCAACCACACAGCACTATAGGGCACTGAAGATCATCAGGTTTTCTATAAACAAGCAGTTACATTCAGTCAACTATGAGAAAGTTAATCTTCAAAACTTAATTTTATAGCCATGCACTGTGCACACATACATAAATAAGTGCATCATATTTAACAGTGAATGCATTTTATAACTATTTACAGAAGACACAAGTAAATTGCTCTTAACTTATAATATCTAAATGTAACAAGTTCTAAACAGATGCCTGGCTATTTACAAGCAAGCAAGCAAGCAAGCAAAACAAATAAGCTCAATGTTATTAAATTTCTACAACAGGCAAAACAATTTTCTGGCTCTGGAGCTTCTAATAGTACTTTTCTATCAGGAGCTTCTAATAGTACTTTTACAACAAAAATGAACAACAAAAAAGTTTAGCTTTTTCTATTCCAAATACTGGACTTCACAGGGAAACAAACAATCAAACACACACACGAGTTACATGCAGTGATACTGTGAACCTCTGGCCGAACTACTAGCTCTCCTTTGTAAAGCTAAACCCTACAGCTGTTTTAAGAATACACAAGCAACACAGCTTCTTTCCCAGCTATATTCTTTTTATCCTGCCTGGTGCTATTGTTGGCCTCACAGCCTCTCTGTGCCTCCACTTCTATTTTTCCTGTCTGAAAATAAATTCTTGTCCAGGTTTTAAAACTGCATAAATGGGAAGCAACACATCTACTTACGCAGGGTCTGGGTCGTACTTCAGAACTATACTTCCCATCGCTAGAAGGAAAGGGAAGGGGTGGGGGGAACAAAAGCAGATGTATTACTTGGTACAAGAGTAAAATTACTACAATTTGAAAATGTTCAAGAGAACAAGCTTTTAGACAGTCACACAGCATGAGCTGGTTAACGGTTATCTGTGTCAGTACAGTGAGCTATAGAGAGTATCAGTTTTATTCCTTTCTTTTTGGTTATTTTTTGGTCTTTTTCTCTAAAAAATCAAAGTATTTATATAATTACAAAAGCAGCTACCAACCCTGCCCCCTCCCAAATCCCAAACAGAGAAATTAAACTACAAAATCACAGAGTGGATTAATTTACTCAGTGAATCTAGGAACTTTTATGTAAGTAAAATGAATATTAAGAGTATGCCAGCCCAAACTTTAGAAAACTTTGCTCCTCCCATTTCATCTCATTAAACACTGAAGTACAAGGAGCAGCGATGACTTGGAATAAAACAACATAAACAAAAGACTGAAAACCAGTCTTCATTTCTTCAAGCATCCAGCACAGAGGAAATACAAATTTAGTATGACTAGACATTGATCTCCATATTTAAGAAAATCAAGTCTGAATAACTGAGTAACTATTATTTGATACACAAAATCCTGAAAAACAATTGCAGATGACAAACTGTTTCAGCTGGAGCACTAACATATAAAGATCAGGAGCATATATAAAAATCTTTGTTTATCAGGTATTTTAAATGCTGCCTCACAGCACTGTGTCACAAAAGTCACAAGTTTGGCAACTCTTCTGTTCTCTGGACTTCATAAACCTTAAAGGCTAAGATCAGAACAGACTAGTTTGTAGTAGCACACTTGGTTTTGGTAATGCTGACTTACCTAATTACCAAGTCCATTTAAGATAAATCTAGTAAAAATTTTTAGCAAACAGGTTATGTGGCAGGATTTTCATAGTCTTCAATGTACTATGCATATATATAAAATCCTTTTGTCATAGCACAAATTAGAAAGCTTACCCATGTCTTTGACTTTCTTCTGTGTTTCACTGCTAAATTTACTTAAGAATGGATTTTCCTGGGTTAGCAGAATTTTAACATCTTCTATGCAGACATTTATAATCCTCGCATGAATGAACGGGTACAGAGTATAAATTCCCTGTTTAATAAATAAATATAATTATTTCAAAATACAATCTCTATTTTCTCTAGCTAATATCAGAAAATAAGTTTCACGTTTTAAACCATACTGAAAATGCTAATTGTCATTAATCTGACAAAGTGAATGCCAGCTCTGCTATAGGCTTTAGAGGAAATGAAAGAATCTCCTTTGAAAATACATTCTGAAATTACCTCTTGTGCTAATCTGAATGCACATCCAAACTGTTCCCCATCACTGTTGCGAGACCAGACTTTTATCCCTGTGTTAATAACCTGCAAACAGCAAAGCCAAAAATTATCATTAATGTGTATAAATTCTAAATTACCACTCTGAACTTTGCTTTTTCTCAATTGTTTCACTAAAAGGAGGAATAAAGGATAATTCTGCTGTAATGTTTGTTCATTTGCAATGGACACTAAATTAAATTCATGTAAAAATTAATTTAATGGAAAAAGGAATTCCCACTATCAAAATGTAGTTCTCTCTCAACATAAACATCTTTTACTCCTCTCCATGTTTAAAACTGAAGGCTGTGAGGAAGTGGCAGTCTTAGAATGAGGGCAATGAACTATTAAGATCTAATTTTAATTTTACTTTGAGTAAGAATTTTCTGGGTGATTCTGGGAAAGTCAATCAAGGACGGGATTTTTAAAACGCACAAGTGCTTAATATTAGGACCCTATATCCTTTGCAGTACCCAGAGTCTCACCACCTAACATCACTGACAAAATTTTAAGGAACACATATAGGAAATGTAGTAATTTCTTATATGTGGGACAAAAGTATAATTATTTATCTATCTCAAAGATCTGCCGCCAAGATGTAATAAAGATCTCTGGAAATTTTCAGGATTTGACTGTAAGGCCCTGAACTGTATCTGATCTAGCTTTGAAGGTAGCTCTGCTTGGGGCAGGAAGGAAGCTGGACTAGATAACCCTGTTCTAACTTAAATTAGTCAACAAGTTTTCAGACAAATCTTTAGCATTTGCAAGGCATTCTCTATGAGGATTCATATAAAAAAAGTGAGTACAATTTTTCCTTCTAATACACAAAAAATACTTCTTATCCCACTATCATTCAGCTTAACAACTTTTCAAAATGTTCAGTAGTTGAAATTATCAAAACAATGTCCCCATGTAACACCACCAGCTAATAATTCAGCTGAAGTTAACCGTTATTTTTGGTAGGTTTTCAAAGCTCTTAATACTTTTATAATTAAGGGGCTCATAAATATAACAGTCTCAATGTAAACAAGTGAAAGCAACTGAAGACTACATTAAAATGCTAGTATACACACAGCAGTTATAGATCCCCTTCCTCTACTTCTAAAGTTCCCTTGCATCTGCCACAAACCATACTGATTTTAAGCTTGGAGATTGTTACTTCCCTCTCAGAAACAACTCTTCATCTCTTGAATAGAGCAGGGATAGAGAAGAAAACATTCAGAAAAAAAAACCCCAAACAAGGCCTATCAGAGGGCTAATCCTCTATATAACAACAAGCTCAGCAATAAAGTTCAAGGAGACATTCACTGATGTTTATGATCTCTGTTGTGAAAAACTGAAGAGATGAACCATACCTTCATCTTCTCACTGTTGTTCAGAAGCACATTCCTTAGCTCCTTAGAAACCATGTACAGCTGTCTCTTTTTTCCTTCTTGAGTTCGGGTTAGTAAATTCATCTTGGGAAATGATGGGTCCAATGCATAAAACTTCCTGTGGCCATAATACTTGTTTTGATTAACTCAGCAATGAAATTACATACTCAAAATGCATGGGTCAGCCCACTTCCTCAAGCTATCTCTGCAAACAACACTGGCTCCAGAACTAGAGTTTCTAAGATGCATGGTGTCAGAAAAGATAAGCTGTCATAAACATGAAGATGCACTTGAAAATTTCCAGTGCAAACTATAGTTGGCTATTTTCATCTAGGAGTTTACATGTTGAAGAGAGGGGCACCTGGTGCAAAGTCAGGTAAAAGTTTTATGTATGACCAACTGGACCCATCTTTTCTGATGAACTGAACTACTAATATTCACAAAGTACTAGAAATCTTACTGCCAAAACAGAAACATTTTTTTTCTTACTGGATAGGAAGGAACAATGGATCATCTTCAGGGAGAAACACAAAAGGGTCTTCTTTAAAACCAAACAACTTCATTTTTTTAGATGGTGGTGGTCTGAAAAGAAAATGCCATTGCAGATTCAATCTTAGTAAAAATACTTGGTTTAAAAATCAGTATATTCAGTTCATTTAGTCAACACTTGCCTTATGGTAATAATACACCAAATAGAGTAGTGACATTTTCCCATGCTTCATTAAGAAAACACTACCCACATTTTAACTTCTTAATATGAGGAAGTGAAAGCAATGCTTGAAAACATAAACCACAGAAACACTAGAGATTTCTGAGGGAATAATTGTGAAGACAGTAAAGATCTTCCAAAGGTTAACTTCTGAAAGTAGTTTTTTCCTTAACAGAGAAGAAAGGACTAACAGACTTTACAAATGCTAGTGAAATACAAGACAGAAAATGTGGAAATGGAGGACAGCTGATCAAATTAATTTATTCTTCTTGATCGACTTCTAAATGAGTCCAATAACAAAAGAACTATAGAATGCTCAGCAATTACAAAGCTGTCACAGGACAAATACTGAGACATGGCCTCTTACCCACATACTCCTTCCTTTTTGCTTTGTTCAGTGTCTGAATTCTGCAATTCTTGCTTTTTCTTAGACTCTTCATTTTCATCAAGTGTTGGTTCTTCAGTAATACGTTCAGAACCATTATCTGAATTGGTTGCTGTCACTTCAGCATCTCCTGTTTTTTGTGGTAATTTCTGATGAACCTATTTCAAATTACAGTATTTTAAAACAAGCAAAAGTAGTGTCTAACTTGTAACAAAAGGTGTCTATATTCTCTCTTTGCATGTACTTAATGCTTATCAATTTGTATGTAAGGGCTTAAACAGACCCATTTAGGCAGTTAATCTGATTACTAAATAAAGATACTATTATAAGTTGCATTTACCTCTAGTACTGATCTGGACTATTTCTTACTAACTGTTCAGGAAAGCTATTTTTGTATCATTTACAAAATCGTGTTCAAGCACTCAAAGAGAAGACTATTTTAAGGCAGAATCTCCTGCTTTCCTCCTAGCACTCAAAATGACGCACACATCTTGCTGCTGCACGCTTTCTGTAAGTGTGCTACAACATTAAACTTAGAACAGCATAAACTGTTTGGATGACGCTTGCTTCTGAATAAATGCTTTCTTCCTTACTGCCACATACACTTGACTCATACAGTTTTCTAATGATGCAAATCAAATAAACAAAAACAGCTAAAAGGGATACACACAAGAAGTTTCTCCCAAATATACGAACGACGTAAGAGAGCAAATAAATCTTGTCAACTTAAAATCCTGTTGACAGGCTTTTAAAGACAATTGACAACAAATGGATTAAAGTCAGATGGCTGAAGCTGCTGCTGCTCCTAACAGGTTTACATCCATTCCCCTGGCTGCTGATCTGCTAGACTAATCTGCTCGTGAATCACTCCTGAGCGACCAGCCCACAGAGTAAGACAAACTGAAATCAGAATTTGCTTACAACACAGGAGAAAAAAGGCTTCAAGCAGAGGGACCACACACAGCTGAAGGAAGTGACAGCTTTAGCTGCCCTATCTCATCTGCTTCTGTAATTCTTTCAAAACCTTAACTTTAAGGTTCAAGTTTTAACTTGCTATTTTACTATGATTTCAAAATCCCCCCTCCTTATTTTGGGAGATTTTTTTTTTTTTTTTAAAGTTCTTAAGGGATGTAGGAATTGACTTTTAATTGAAAATCTGAACTATGACTGAAAGGCAGATACAAAACAATTATAGTATGTTTGCTATCATGTAAGCTTTCCAAAAATAATCCAGAAATGTTATTAAAACTTAACATTTTAGCTCCTTTAAAAGAAGTTACCTTAGGCTGGCGTTTATTCCATGGCATTGGTGATTTTTTTATTAACACAGCCACAAAGAAACCTCCTGTGTTCTGATGATGTGGCAATATCCTAAGACTAGCGAGAAAAAAAAATGTTGCAGTGTATTCACCATCAGCATTCAGTCTCTCACAATACTAGAAGCATCACATTTACATTTACTTTCAGGGTAAACTAAGTATTCCCAGTAGGATTGTGCAGATTTAATTTATCAAGCTAGAAACATGATCTAAAATAGAGCATTCTGGCAAAATAACTTAAACCAGTGCAACGCATTCATTTCACTAGTCACATCCGAGTTTTAATGCCTCATTGCTAGAATTTATTTTTAGAATATCTATGTAAAGTAATTCATAGCAGGTAAGTCAAACTCTTAAAATGTTAATGTTTTTAAACTATTCCAGTAATTTTGGCTATGTATCTCTGCTGGATGCAAAGAATGTGACCTGCTGGTGTGAGTACTTATTCCTTGTAAGCAACTACCAATAATTCCTCTCGGTTCACTGGAATTTAAATATTGTGTACTGTCAGTACACATGAAGCAATCAAAATATCCTGAGACCTATACCAGCACATTCCTAATCTGACCTAATTATAATTTACCCACTACCACACTAAGTAACTATCAAAACCTCATAAAATCTACTCTGGGAAAAACTTACCAACGCTCTAGATTCATTGCCTTTAGCTTCTCTTCATCTTTTACAGGAAACATAGTGGGACGTATTTGTGTTTGTCTATTTGAAGGCACATCTTTCCACTCTTCAAACCACTGTCCATCTTTCAGCATTACCTTCAAAGGAGTAAACATAAATACTGTGAAAAACATACATCACCATTTTACAAGTTTTAATCAAAATACTTTCAAACCAAGGTTCAGATGCTAAAAAGGGAAGTTATTTTCTGGTATAGTAAATTAAGTTCTTTAAAGTACATTGTTTCTTTGTGCACTGAGTGTGTGCATGAGATTCTTGCCAGTTCCTTGTACGCTCCAAAAAGAGTGCAGTCAAGACTTGTGCAGAATAAACTGCAGTGATTTCTGGTAACTTGCTACCACGTACAAACTGCCAAAATCCAAAGGAAGGACAGTGGCAGAATATATAAGAAGATTAGTAAGCCATCAGATTTAAGATACACTACTTTTTTGCCTTAAGACTGGCTGTGAAATATTCTGCTATAGGCAGCTTCCATGCAATATACAAAGGGAATAGTGCAGCCTCATAAGAGTTTAGAAACAAGGAATCCCAATTTCATTACATATGAATGATCCAAGAATGCAACACAACAGCTTGGTAAGCATAGAGCCCCTGCCACAGGCATACATAGGTCATAAAGATGATTTCATGGAAAGTTACTGAAGAACCATGAATTTTCTAGTGTCTGTATTTTTATCCAGGATTCAGAACGTATCTGTAACTCTATTCTAAGATTAATTATATAATATAATATTACAGGCAATAAGATGTATTAGTGATAATCTTAGTGATCTTATTTTATATATCTATGTATATATTTTGTAGCTCTATGCAGTACAAATAAAGGAAAAATAAGATTATAGAGCCAGAGTTACACATTTTACATTTATCCTTCAATTACTAGCATAAAATTTAAACTTTCAGAACTTTAAGAAGAAACCAGCTAGTTTCTAGGCTGAATTTCAAATGGCAGAACACAAACAAATCTTTATTCCATGCATCTTGTGGACAGGCATAAACCTGCAAACTACCATTGTAAGAGACTAGTGAAATGGTGAGAGAAGACAGAAGAACCAATGGGGTCGCAAAGGCACACGC